GACAATCCCTTTATTAAATCAGTTAGGATACCCAGGGTGTCTGCAGGAGACCCCAGCATGAGGAGCTATGATTGACACCAGGCAGGAAAATAATGGTTACAGCCTGGAGCATGGGGCAGGGCAGCACACTTGGGGAAGCACCTGTGCACAAGACATGACAGGTTGGGTGCAATGGTACATGCCCGTAATCCCAGCTACTTGGGAGCTTGAGGCAGGAGGGTCACAAGTTCCAGGTCAACCCCAGTAACTTAGTGAGACCTGTCTCAAAATAAAAAGGATTGGGCATGTTGCTTAGTGGTAGAGCACTTCCCTAGCATGTAAAGGCCCTGGATTAAATCCCTAGCAACACACAAAAAAAATAAAATAATAAAAAGGCACAACAGTGGGCAAAGGCAAGACACTGCAACAACCAGCCCCTGCCTCCTCGTGTCTACCTTGTACCTTGAATACTTGCTCAACATGTTATATGTAATCATATATTTAATACCCTCTGATTATATAATACCTCTCATTGTAAAACAGTGTAAAAAATTTCAAGAAGGGGCTAAGGATATAGCTCAGTTGTAGAGTGCCTGCCTTGCATGCACAAAGTCTTGGGTTCAAACCCCAGCACCACAAAAAAAAAAAAAAAAAAAAATTCCAAGAGGTATAAAGAAGTAAGATGGAACCACAATCACTACCCAGAGATAACCACTGTTAATTTGTGTCCTTTATATTTCATGTAATATGTTATGAGCCTTTTCTTCTGTCATGAACTGTTCTTCTACAACATGACTGTTAAAGTTGCTTGGTTTGTCATATGACAGTACCCTCTTATAAAAATCAATCTTTGAGGGCACTTGCTTTGTTCCTCATTTCTCATCATCAGGATCAAGCTTGGTGATGAAAATCTTTGCACAATAAACTTTGACACACATTTCTGGTTACTGGTTGTAAAAGATACAACCCTAGAAGTGGAATTCCTGGGAGAGATACTCAACCTTCTGCCTGTAGCAGTACCCTGCACCAACGCTCCTCCTCCCATCATTTAAAAAATCTGAAAGGTGTGGAGCAGCACACTGATGAAATAACACCTGCTTAGTGTAGTCCCCACCCTTGAAGATAGTGACACCTGTGGCAGGATTATGAGCTTTGGTGTTCACCTCCAGGGTCATTTGTAGTTTCAAGCAGGAAGTGACATCTGATCAAGTGTTCCTCTCTGCTGCAGGCCAGCTGAATTGAGACCTCTAAGAGACGGAAGGCCCACTTTAGTTTGCTAGCCCACCAGGTACCCAGGACCCATGGAGACATTCGTGGGAAAGTCCCATTAACTGTACATCTTTTAACCTGTCACTTGGTGCCCACATCCACAGATATAGGACTCACTGTGTGCCAGGTTCTGTGCCACCTGACCTTACATTCAAGTCTCACAAGAGCTCTGTTAGGCTTTCCATAGGGAAACTTTAAAGTCCTAAACAGGGTCACACAGAAAATGGAAGACTAAGATCTGAGTTCAGGATGCCAAAGATCAAGCCCACACTTTAATCACAATGCTAATAATGCTAACAGTAATCATCTTATCAATAATACACAGTTTGCATTTGTGTGAAAGATCTTTAAATATACCTAACTTCAGTGGCATAAAATCAAAGGAAGGATCTGCCTGCATTTGCATTTGGTGAACAGGCACGCTCCTGCCTTCCTTCATTTTTAAAAAAATATATATTTTTTTAGTTGTAGGTGGACACAATACCTTTATTGTATTTATTTATTTTCATGTGGTGCTGAGGATCAAACCCATTGCCTCACATGTGCTAGGCAAATGCTCTACCACTGAGCTACAATCCCAAGCCCTGCCTTCCTTTCTTACAAGTTCCTTTTGGCCTGGCCTGGGTTTGCCTTGAAGCTGACTCCTGCCCACTCCCCGGAGTTTTTGAAAAGCAAGAATAGAAAAGACAGGCAGAGCTATTTCACCCTAGGAGAAAAAAAAAATTCCCCTAATTTTTCACTAATAATTTCTTTGAGAATCCCTGCCTTAGTTCATATGCAGAGCTGGGTGTGGTTATCTGCCTGCCCCTGGGATCTTGCAACAAGTCCAGAAAAATGTATCCCCATCAAGGCTAAAAGGTGACAAGGAGAAAAGGAGCAGATGAATGGAACCACTGCAAACCTCTAGGAACATGGTCAACTGCCACAGTATATGTGGTCAACTATTAAGAACCCCAGAGTTCATTCCAAGTTTAATTTTTCCCCCTTCAAACCTCACCTCCCACCTTCACCCTAGACCACTACAAAACAGCCAGGGGTGGATAGAGATGATTTTATTTTGTCCCTGGAAAAGTCTCAGGATTCAAGCTCTTTGTGGGCATGGAGCCCATCTCCATAAGTCCCCAAAGAATCCAAGGTCTCCTCTTCACAGAACAGTTAGCAGCTACTACTTAACAGGTGCCTAGCACTTACTGAGTACAGCCTTGGGTGTTCTCTGTATCCCAGTTCATTTAATCCTCACAATAATCCCATGTGGTGGGTTATTCTCCATCTTATAGAGCATTTAAGCATTTTGCTCACAGTTCCATACATAGGAGGAACTGGAATCAGGAGGCAGTGATTGTATGTGTGTGTGCCTTGTCCATTACTGTGTCCTGTGTCCCCAGCACACATTGTGGAATAAAGGCTGTAAGAAGGTCATATCATCCATAAATGTAAAATGTGGCGTAACATCCTCACCAGAAAGAAGCCAGGGGGCTAAATGCACAACACTTGCATTAAACTTTCCCTTAATCCCAAAGAGCCCATTTAAATATAATCTTACTATAAGAGTGCTTAAGCAGTGTTTGTGTCCATCATCTTCCTTCACTGCATCCTCTACGTCTCCTTTTTCTTGAGCTGCTTCTGATTTTGTTCCTGTGGGCAGTGAGGACAGAATAAGCCAGGGTTGGGCTAAAACACAGACATGTTATTGATGACCCAATATGCCAAGGACAGCAAAAATATAGTTTCCTCCCTCCTCCACCTACTTTTCTCCTCCTGTAATTTAAGCCTGTAAAGGAAAGCTGGGCTTTGCTTCCTCCAAAGTTGACATTTCCTGAGGCAGGGGATGTAGCTCAGTGGTAGAGCACATACTTGGCATGGCCTCGAGTTCAATGCCCAGCACCACAAAAAAAAAAAAAAAAAAAAAAAAAAAAAAAAAAAAAAAAAAAGTTAGCATTACCACACAAAGGCAAAAACAGTGGCAAGTCCCCACAGATGTTAGAACTATAAGAACCCTAAGGCAACTGTAACAACAAACTCCAACTTTCTAACACTGTGGTAATAATTAGGACTTCTCATGCTATCCATGTTTCCTCCATTAATAGTAAAGTACAAGCTGTAACTTATTTTAATGAAAGAAGAGGAAGTCATTTGTAGCACTGGCCTGAGGTTCTTCAGATTGAGATCCACTTGCTTAAATTCTGAACCAGATTTACTCTCAACATTTGGATTGAGAAAGAAACCAAGTCACTATAATTGCTACTGGAGACTTTTCCTTTCTCTTAAACTCTATTGAGGGACTATTGATAAGGAACCACAGACAATGCTTCCCTCAGATGTTTCAACCCCAGGGCTGCCAACCCCTTGGTTGTGCCCTTGGTAAAGCTATCCAATTTCTGGAGTTTGGGATCTCAAACATTTCTTTCTATATCAAGTGGAGGTGAGAAAAGGCATGAGTAGTTGACCCAGGAACTAGCTTTGCCAATACCCAAAATGGTCCATTAGCGCTTTCTCTCTACTGGCCACCTTATGAGGAGGCTCTCTGTTGCCCTTGACCACAGAGATATTATGAAGTCCATCTCTATCTGAATAGCTAGACCTATACCAAGGGGCCATGTGAAGTAGTCTAGGTGGGCTCTGCCACTAGCCAGCCATGAAATCTGACAGCCTTTCCAAGCCTGTTTCCTTGTTTACAAAATGGACATAGAAGATTACCCACCTCAAAAATAGCTATGAAGATAAATGCTATCATGATCACGCATGTCAAGCACGTGGCACTCAAATTCAGACTCCTAAGAGAAAGAGAAATGACAAAGACCAAAGGAAAGAAGAAATCAATAGGTAAAACAAGCAGCAGCACCCTAGGCCACTATGAATAGGAAAAATTAAGGAAGTGCCAAGGTGAGGGGCAAGAACTTGGGATTTCTTCCTCTCAGTGACCCACTGTGCTTTGCTCAAAGCTGGTTTATATTATCCTCTCTTTCTATTTCCCTTGAGGACAGGTTGCAGAACCTCGGCACCACACAATCTCAAGGGAATATGAGAAGGGATAGGTGAATGGGAAAATCCATTTAGTAAAAGTTAGTGTGTTCCGAAGACCCAAAATGTAAAACATGTCTTTTTCAGGGAATGGCTCAAAGGCTTGTATTCTGTGTATACTATTTCTTCACACCCACCTGAGGACATTTGCCCATTTTCTGAACACTGACATGTGCTACAGCATATCACCATTTAATTCACCACCCACTGAAGTAGGGAGTTTGGCCCATTTATAGGTAGAAAATCAAGGAGTAGACTCTCACATAATCTTACAGTCGTGGGGTCACAGCAACGGCAGCCAGGCTGGGACCTGAACCTGAAGTTGATGGGCAACAAGAAGTTACCTTGCAGAGCATAAAGAGTGTGTAGAAGGTGAAAGAATGACTCCTGGAAGAATGAGCAGACATCTCTTTTTCTAATTTGTGTGTGGCTCCCAAATTCTAGTGTCTTGTTTTCAAACTTCTGAAAACGAATCCATTTGTTCTGAGAGTCAGATTTCTTCTGTAAGAAACAGTATTGTAGCAGGAAGGCCTCCTGACACAGATAGGTGAAACGCCAGTGCCTGCTGGGGGATGTAAGTGGTCCAAGGTGGTGGGTTTCTCTTCTTTAAAGGGCAAGAAATACTGACCCACTCACCTCCTCTTCCTGAGGCAGAACCCTCCAAAAACTGCCAGGAGCCTCAGCTAGCTAGGAAACAGGACAGGTATTCTAAATAACAAACCACTACAGTCTTAAAACAAAAACATTTTATTTGATGCATAAATTCTAAGGTACAAAACCATTTTGCAAATGTCAGCTGTGGTCTACTATCACTTATTTACAGAGTTATATACAAATCAAACATTTCACTAACATTTTCAATGTAAAATTACAGCACACTGCTACAGTCTGTCAGTGCTCATTATTCCACCAAAGATAAACTTAAAGATGAAATAAAAACAATGACATTAATGACCACTGGTGTTCCACAGGCTTTCCTCCTAGAACATAGGAAAAGGGAGTTTTTGCAGTGGAAAAAAAAAAATTTAACTAACAGTGAAAATCATAGTTACCTACTCTAAATGAACACAGTTCATTACAGAAGCTTTTGCTGCTGTCCAGATTCACCATGCAAAAAAGCATCATGAGAGAAATAAAACTTTTTAAATAACAGATGAGCATGTTAGTGTCATCCAATGGCAATTTTTTTGTCTACAAGTTGCAGCATTCACTTATGTCCACATCATATACAAATAGAAAACTGCTCCTTTGAATCTTCTTGACTGAAATTTTATATAATATAAATGTGAGATGTACAACAGGAATAGTTTGTTTTTGTCAGTCTTCTGATTGTGCAAAACACAGTGGTTGGTCAACGGAGAGCCATGGCGCTAGCCCCCTGGAATGCAGAAGAAGTCCTTGAGGTGTCTGTGGTTCCCATGGAATTCTGGAGAGGAACCAAAGAGCAGGAGAGAAGACAATTGGCCAAAATTCCCCAGAGGTCCTCATTGGAGGATTCAAAGGTGTCTGCAAATTAGTCCCCAGATGACAACGGGAAGGTGGCACTTAGCAACTAAACTGCTACATCATCTCACCAGTGGTTAAACTGAAGTCTGTACCATGTAGTGATATTATGAGTCACCAAATAAAGGTAAAGATATGCAAAAATAGAATCACAAATTGGGAGGGGAGGGTAGCTGCCACTCAGAAGGTAAGAGTTGGTCTAAAAGAGTATCCTGAAATTCAGGAACGACAATCAACACATCAGAAGTAAGCACCAAATGTTTGCCCTTAGGAAGGAAAATAAACCACAAAATAGGACCATTACCAAGGGCAGGAGGAGAGGGGAGTGGTAGCCTACTGATTCTTAGAATGAATGTAAGCAACACACCATTTTTTAAAAGTGCCATTCTATTTCTACATGCTAAGAGGCACTGGGCACATATGTATTTTCCTATAATCCCACCCTGAGCTTGGCCATCACAAGGCACCAATATGAAGAAGTCACCAATGTTCTGTTTGAGCAACTAAAACAAGTGTGAAACTGAGAACTAAAGAGCAGTGAAAATTATTAAGCCTTTGGAAAACAGGAGCTGTGGAGAATGGTTTAACTGGGTGGGATTATTTACCACTGAAATAAAAACACCAGGGGGATGACTTCACTGTGGTTTTCAGATACACGGAAGGTGACCAGCTGTTCTTTCTCCACTACACCCTCAACAAAAGAAAGCTGGTTTGCATTTCTATAAGGAAGAACATACAAAAAACTATCTGATCAGCAGGGTAGGTTACAGAATCTCTTTTACTAAAAATCCACAATCTCATCTGCAGCCATATGTCTGGAATAATTCAGTGCAGCCCCTGTCTTGACACCAGGGAGGGAACATGTGAGATAATCTAAACTTTCTTCTAGCCCTTGAGGCCTGAAATGGGAATCAAAACTATTGGCTTACAGATTTTCTTTTGTTTACTTTCACCCTGTGCCTGGGAAGGAGGGGAAACAGCAAGGGCGACCCAACACCCACAGGGTCTCCCCTGTATCTCAACATCAGGAAAAGCTTTTCTCCGTCCACAGTTTCACACAGCCAAGAGTCAATACACAGATCATTTAAAACAGAAGGTAATGCATACCTGGCTGTAGTGGACACTAGGAGATTCTTTGCCTTATTACCCACATATGCCTGTTTTTCTAATTAGGTCTTGGTCTAAGTTCAGATTTGCACACCGTCTAAAAAAGGATTACACATGAGCCCTAGGGGTTGTGGAGTTTAAGTGAAATTGTTCAAAACATTCTGTTTCTTAAATTGGAAGACAATAAATCTGAACTTGAAATTAAATGTAAAGCAGCATTAAAACCTTACAAAAATACATTCAGAATCACCTCAAATTTCTTTGAAGGAGAGTTAGGGGAAAGAAATAATCCAGCTACTGGCTGGATTTAGCATTAGTGGCATGGTTTATTTGTAACTACCATGGGTGATGTTCATTTCAAATCTTATAAAGCAGAAATCACAAACTGGCAGCCAGGGAGCCAAATTAGGTCCATCTGTATGTTCTGTTGGTCTTGAATTTAAATATTTTAAAATTTTAGTTGCCAATATTAAAAGAAAGAAATTTTCAGCTTCTCTTGAGAAATGGGAAGATTGGGAAACACTTCATGTCCACAATCAACTGGAGCAGCCTCTCCCTGTAGGTAGGACAGAAGTTCTTCAATTTGCCACAGTCCCCACCATGCCTTATTGTCACTCTGACAAAGAGAAGGTGTGTTGTTGCCATTTGTTATCACACAGCTGATTTGCTTATACCTGACTACACTGGTGCCCCTGAAGGTACAGGATCTGCTAAGAATAGATGTCTTCAACAACAGAAAAGACTAGTAACCTTCACATTGGCACTGCCCATCTCTCTCCAATAAAGAGAGTAATGTCTCTTCTTAAGAGAGCCAAATTAGTTTTGAGGTAGCCAGGGACTACAGAATGTTCTTTCTTTGAGAAAGAGGGTATGCCATTTCTTCTCCAGGGATAAAATAGCATCCCTGCCACTTTAGTTTCTTATAAAGGAAAAAAATGTCACCTCTGAAAAAAAAAAAAACTCTTAAAATCATGTTAATCTACAGTTTTGGAGGACTAGCCTTCCTGTTTGCATGTACGTCAGGTAACCTGAGACTGAATGTTGGTAAAAAACAAAACCAAAGTATCTTGTGTTTATAGAATAGCAAGAGAGAACTTTAACAAACATACATGCAGGAACTTAAATCTCCGTAACCTACTACACATTGATTCTAATGATTGATGTCATCATTGGTAAGGACAATTTTTTTTAAACCTCTGATCTGGGACTGTTTTTAGTTAATAACGAATCAACCAAAAGCTTTATCTCATGACTTTATGACCCAATCTCATTTTTGTCTCAAAATACTGTTACCTGGCTGAGTCCCTAACTCAGTACCCAGGACTGGACTGGAATGACTTCTGATTCTTTCAAGATCCTTGTGTTTCAAAGGCCCAAGTATTGATCCTCTGGAGGAGTTCTGCACCCAGTGTAGCTAGGCCTGGTCCATGAATATAGTCCCAATTACTTGGAGCCAACTTCTCAGAGAAGAACACACAATTACCTGGGTTTTAACCTCCCTGATCACTCTCTTGGCAAAGCTGACTGCATCATATACTAAATTCTTTCTGTGGGACATCGGTGAATTAAGGAGAATGACTAGCTTTCTACCTTTGGTATTCTTGGTTTTCTAGAGTCCTGGGGTGAACACTGGTCTCCCTTGCAGAGGGCAATAACTTACCCATAAAAGCCTCTTACTCTCAGATCAAGACCTTTCACTGAGCGCATCACTATAATCTAATTCTTGTTTCCCCGATATCTAAAATTAGCAAGTTGGCAGATTTTTTTTTAATCCCATTTTATCATTTCCACTGTCAGACAGGTAGTTAGTCAAAAACTGCAACTCTACTTAGAACAGATGTTTTGCCTTAATCTACAACACAACTATTCCCATTCCTAGCATGATGTGGGGATGGGAGAAAACAAAAGAGTGAAACTAATGAAACAAAATTAGGAAGACAGACTTCTCAACTTATTCTGAATTAGGCAATCGTACTGTAGTTTTATTACTTGGCATTTTAGAATCTGTGAATCAGAAACAATAGTTCAGGAAACTAAAAAACATCACCTGATTTTTGGACTAGCATCCTTTCTGTCCGTTCCATTTTTGTAACAAGTGAGTTCATGTATTGAACTCTCTGCCCCCGCCCTTGGACCTCAATTAATACTCCTCTGAATGCTCCAAACTGTCCCTAGGGCCACTTTCTCAGAGATGCCTATTTCGTATGTGAAGCTGAATGTCTATTGTAAAAGCAGCTCCTAGGTTCCTTTGGGAGCATGAAACATCTCTTAGTCTAAATAAGAAATCTCTCTGGTAACGTTCCAAGTGAATTTTCATGTTAGCAAGTTTGGACCCACTGATCTCCTTCACAGAATGTATGTGGACAATGAAAACAGCAGGGCAATTTTACTTGGGCAGGAGCTCTGTGCTTGGCTTAGATTCCACACAGAACATCTCTACCAAGAAGCCAGTTTCATGGGGAGACAGTCTTGCAGCTCACTGTCTCTCCCTCAGAGCAGCTGCAGGAAACTTGATGCCAGAGAACAGATGAGCACATTATCCCAAGAAGCTGCCAGCTGCCTTTCCAGAGCAGAGAATAGTACATTTGAGTCCAAAATACACACAAACCTCTTTCCAGCAGAACTGCAAGCCTTCCCTTCCCTACCTGACAAGCACATGCTTGAAAGATAAAGTTCTGCCCCATCCCACTTACCAATGTTGGTCCTATCTGATGAAGGAAAGCCACAATCCCTAGACTAAATGATGAGAAAATGGACTGCCAAAATCCAATGGCCTCCGGTGAAAAAGGTGTAGAGAGATGCTCATACCTGTGCCAGGGCATGGGGAGGGCAAGGGTTTCCAGAGAGGAGACTAACACATCATCACACACATGCAAATCAACAAACAGGATATGAACAAACATTTTCCCTTTGGGAACAGAGATTGTGTAGAGGAGTCATTCATAAAAATGTAACAATAACTTCTGTGACAGTCCCTTCATTTCTACTTTCTTAAAAGGAAACTTGTCATCAATCAAAACCAGTTGAGGAGATCAGCTCCACACACTGTTGTGTTTTTGCAAATTCTGATCCCTAATATTTATGATTCAAGTTTAGACCAAAAGGCCAAAATGAAGCATGAACTATAACTTTCAAAAATACAGCCCAGTTGGGTAACAGTCTCTTAAAATAAATGTCCAGACACCATCATCTGAGCTACAGCTCAGTAAGTGTAACCCAGGGAAACTTAATAGGCAGCTCTGGCCTCCACATGATGCCTACTTAGATTATAAGACGACTCTGCTTTATGGCCCCCTCATCAACCAGCCATGTCACTCAGCTTTAAAGTCAGCCTGCTTTATGGCCCCCCCATCAACCAGCCATGTCACCCAGCAATACATAAAGACTTTTTAAAAGGTGACTGGATATTCAGTCACTTCTTTGACATTGACTCAAAACTTATTTAACGTAATACCCCTGACATCGTAAGTTCCACATCAAAAATGGATAGGACATCATTTGCAATACAACAGATTCCAGAGAGAATGGCACTTGATTTCTGTGGCAATAATGATATTACAAGTGCTTTTTCCACAGATCATTTCAAATCAAAGTAATTAACAGTGAAGAGCAAAGTTTGTTTATGGCGCTCAGTGAAGTCTGAATGGTCATTGTGAGTATTATCCTGTTTCTTTTTAACTGTTTCCTCTCTACCTTTCAGAATAGGCTCTGATCCAAAAACTGACCTAATATAGCAAGGTCTTGTCAGACCCCATGGACATGCCTTTCAGAGTTCCACATGGTCTTGGAAAATTGGAGACTTTGCCAACATATTTGGTAGAGGGCTGGGGCAGCAGGAGCAAGTACTGGCCAGAATTTCACTCCAAATATCCTTTTATGAGCCCTCAGCTGCAAGAAGGCCATGTGACCAGAGATGAGCTATGGTACCAGAGAGTGGTGGCAGCTAAAGTGGCAATGCTTAGACTCTTCTGTTTTGTTACAAAGGGGCAACCGCGTGGAGTTCATCAGTGTAGCTGCAGCAACCAAGTTCTGTTTTGCACACTCCAGAGGCAAGGAGCTTAGAAGGGAGGGTAGGAGGATCCTCCTCACCTAAGGAAAGAAAAGAGGACAGATCCACACAGTCATTGCATTTCACTGAACCTGGCGCCCATACAAAGATATGGTTGGAACTGCATTTGGAGTACAGGTTTTGCACAAATGATGCAGGAATCAGAATCAGTTCAAGATGTAGCACTATTATCTTCTTAACAGATTCCAGTTCCCTTACCCTGAAGAAGGAAGATACCTTCCTTGAGGGTCAAGGGTTTCTATACATAATTCCAACTAGTTACAGGCATGGTAAGGAGCATGAGATAATATCCTGGGGTTCCCTGGGGGAAGTGGGCCCTCCTACAGAGCCCTCCCACTTAGGGCCCTATACTGAGCTAGAAGGGAAAAAGTATTGCTCCAATGAACCTCTAGTCCAACAGATGTGATTTTAAAGGCAATGGAAAAGCCTGGAGTGGTGGCATACTCCTGTGATCCCAGCACTTAGAGGCTGAGGCAAGAGAGATCTCAAGTTCAAGGTCAGCCTCAGCAATTTGGCAAGACCCTCAACAACTTAGCAAGACTCTGTCTCAAAATAAAATATAAAAAAGGCTGGGGATTGGGCTGGGATTGTGGCTCAGAGGTAGAGCATTCACCTAGCATGTGTGAGGAACTGGGTTTGATCCTCAGCACCACATAAAAATAAAGGTATTGTGTCCACCTATAACTAAAAAATAAATATTTTTTAAAAGGCTGGGGATGTAGTTCAGTGGTAAAGTGCCTCTGGGTTCATTTAAGTTTTTGATATGAAAAAAATTAAAATTAAAATAAAGACAATGGAAAGGAAGGGAGGCAATAAATACCACAGGTTCCAACAAAGACACAGTCCCATAAACCCTTACCCAACCCCCTGGCAGACAATGTATTTTGGTATTCCAATGTTTCTGGATTTCAAGAAGACAATATAATACACATACCATATGCTATATAACCCCCCTTGTGGGGTCTAGGCAGCTTACCATAATTTAGTATCAGTATTTCTGCAGATCAAATATTCACATTACTTGGCTAAATCCAGTCTACCAAAGAAACCATATTATTTCCTTTAGGTTTAATTGTCCAATAAGTCAGCACCAAAATTAGAAAAACACTTTGACCTACTTTAGAAATGTTGCAAAAGTGTGTAACACAAACCTGAATCAATAGCACCTTACCCAGCCCGGAGGAAGAGGACAAGCTCTCCGTCAGGGAAGAAGTTTCTGTCTGGTCTGTTGAGAGTCCTTCCATCAGAGGCAGAGACAGCTCAGACGAGGGCACAGATGAATCGTAGATGCCAGAGTCCCGTGGCATGTCTGAGGGGCTGCCTGCTTTCACAGCATGCAGCAAGGGCTGCAGTGTGGAGCCACTCTCCTGGGATGGGGCCTCGGGGTCTTGGTCCAGGCACACGTGCTGACTCTCGGGGTGCGGGTGCAAGTCGGCAGGCCCAGTGGCCCCAAGAACGGCAGCATCAGCCTTTAGGCAGAAATCACTTTCTGGTCCTGGTTTGCAGATGACGTCATTTAAAACCAAGCCTGAGTCAAACTTCTCCAGGACAGGCTCCCGGTAACGCAGGAGGGGAGCATGGAAGGGTAGGAACTGCTTCTCGAACCAGTCGGGCTCCTCGTCAATAAACTGGTGCATGTTGCAAATGGCGACATACAGGGAACGTCCAGACTTGCTCCGAAAGTAGTTCCTTCTGCTGCTGTGTCCCAGGTGCTGTCCTGATTCCTGGAGGCTATGGTCTCCGGAGTGCAGGTGGGAGCAGAGCTGGGGAAGGTTGTCCATGAGTTTGTATTTAGTACTCAGGTCCAGGATGCAGGGGACATCACCTTCACAGGAATAATCAAAGTAGACAGCGATGAACTTACTGAGGGCAGCAGATGAACTCTGCTTTGCCTGGCGGAGCTTTTCAGCAATAGCCGCCACTGCCACCAGGAAGAGCTCCCCTTTGCCTGAGCCTCGGCCACCTCCTTTGTGTTTGTAGTTCTTCTTTTCCACAAAGTACTTCATTCCTTTGGAACACACCACGATGATGAACTGGGACTCATGGATCTTCTGTATGACCCATTCTCTCTGTCCTTCTCTACAGAGACTAAAATCTTCCCATAGGTCTAGTGTCACCTGGAAAGAAAACAAGGCAGCTCCCTCATCTACTCCACAGGAGACAGGAGTAACAAGATGGTGAATGTAGAGGAGGTCACATCATCTATAAGCACAGCTATGGGCAGGCTGTGTTGCAGACAAACAGCTGAGGTTCTACAGTGAGACTCACACACTAGGCCCTCTGAAAGGGCTTGCTATCCATCAACTCATTTTAGTATTATGTAAGGTCATTACCACTGGCACCCCAGAAGTGAGAAGATGGAAGCACTGAGCATTTACCAGCTGGTCTTAAGTCATCACAAGTATGGCCTCAAGGAACCCACAGTATGGTGCAGAGCACAGAGTATGAAGGGACTGATACTGGATTATAAGAGAGACTGCCAAGGAGCAGATCCTGGAAAGAAGGCTAACAGACTAGACTCAAGAGGAGGATGAGTGAGCCAACTGTGCTGGAAATGGGGCTCCGGCCTATATGCCAAAGTCATGCATCCAGAGAACATGGATGGCCAAGAGGATTTCTCTGGTAATGGTAACTCTTACCAACCTGGATTCAGCCATGTTGTTTGGTCAATGCCAGAGAAGAGGATGGTGAACTGATAAAACAACACAACTGGTTATGTTCTGGTTAACTCACTCCAGAATAACAAGCACCTTCCTTCACAGCTTCATAGAGATCTACAGTGTCACATCTCTACAAAGCTTATGATCAAGAAGGCCTCTGGGGTATGATCTTTGGTAGGGAGGTTGGTGGTGGTGGTGTATCCCTGACAAGGGAATGAAAATCAGGTATGTGTGACCCCTCAGAGGGTTTAACCTTTGACCACTTTCATCTGATTCTGCTGACAACATGTCTTGACAATTGTGTTGGTATGAATGATTCCTTCTAAGTTTAAAAACAAATTCTCAATGACTATGACCAAACATAGCAGATACAATGTTTTAGAAGGAATGGGCACTCACAAATGGCCTTGTTATCTTCCTCTGCTGTAAAATATTACCAAAGAAAAGAAAGCCCCAACATCCATCCACTTACTGAAAATAATCCTTAACTGTCTTATACTTTCCTTAATTCTTGCTGACATTATACATGCTAAAGCTAACTTGGAAAATACACCAAGCAAATTTTTAAAAATTCCTATCTTTGACTCAGCAATTCCATTTCCAGGCATTTATTCTGGGGAAATCATCAGAAATGGGGCAGTACTTAACTACTGAGAAGTTTAATAATATATATGAACTCATTTATGGTAAACACACACAACACTTTGGGGATTGAACCCAGAGCACTTCACCACTGAGCTACATTCTCAGTCCTTTTTTATTTTAAGACAGGGTCTTGTTATGTTGCTGAGGCTGGCCTTGAACTTACCATCCTCCTAACTCAGCCTCCCAAGTTGCTGGGATTACAGGAGTAGTACATCAATACTATGGATTATGTGACTATTTAAAATTTCAGTTTACATAGAATTGCTAATAATGTAGAAAATTATGAAGAGACTGAAGTAAACCATTCCAATCTGCCCAAAATGCAAAATTGTATATGTGAGTTCAAAAAAAGTCTGGGTAAAAATACATTAGATATGTTTGCGGTATCTGAAGATAGCATGTGCCACTGGCTAGATTTTGCAGTTGTTTTTCCAGCAGGTGCTTAAGGCCAGGAGACTAGACCAGCCTTTAGATTCGTTTAATTGACAGCAGAGGGCAGCCTTACCACATGGAGATAATCTGAAGACCAGGCTGACAGGCATTTTCAGAGTACAAATGACTTCTAACTACACAATTACTGTACAATTATTGCATTTTTAAGAAACAGGGTGTGGTTTTCACTTGAGAGTTACTCTAAAAATCAAAACTATGGCATTATAGAAAAGCTAAGTATTCATAGTTAACTCAAAAATTGCTAAAAAACTGAGCAATCAAGCATTTGACATATCACTATTTTATGGATTCCTCCCTTTCCACTGCCTGTCTGCAGCTACTGCCTTCTCCTACATCACCAGTTTCTCCCTTTCCATGACTCTGTACCAGTCAATCATCAAAACTCAGGAGCACTTTGTTAAACATTCCTCCCTAGTCCCGCAAGATCCCTTCCCACATCAGTCCCATTTTCCATTCCCCTTCTCAGCAAACTCTCTCATGCCCAGCACATGCTCACCAATGTCTTGAGTGACCCCTGAGTGGGATGTCCCACTCCAGTTACATAGTCCCATAGCAAGCCCATGATTTTTTTAGTGCTCATAAAACTTCCTTCCAGGTGGGTGCCACTCAAGGGTTTTAGGCATGAGAGTGCTGGGCTGGGGTTGTGGCTCAGAGGTAGAGTGCTTGCCTAGCATTCACTGGGTTCAATCCTCAGCACACATAAATATTAAAATAAAGACATTGTGTCCACCTATAACTAAAAAATTAAAAAAAGAAAAAAAGAAACATTAGTGCTGATGATGGGAAAGACAGACTGAAAGATCAAAGCAAGACTGTCTCCAGTTTGGAAACTATGCCATAAATTAAGGGCAGACCTAGAAGAGAGAGGCAGCAAAGAGGGAGTACAAACCATGTGTCCTGCCCGCAGTAAAAGAATAGTCTTTAGATTCCGCACCTCACAACCACAGAAGTCCTGGAGGAAGTAGGCAAAACACTGGACAACGTTCATGTGATTCTGGCCATCTTTACTGGAATAGCACAGGAAGACCTTCGGCCGCGGCCTGAGCCTCTCCCTGGGGAGTGCTGCAGTATATGTGGAGGACTCAGAGCTCTCTTCATCTAAATGTGAATATATATTTTCTAAATTGGGAAAGAAGACAGGGTTGGTACCTATGAACAAAGCCTCATCTTGTTCCATATGATCTGGAACTCAACAACATCCTCAAGAAAGAACAGTTGACATGTCTACCTAGAGAGTCCTAATCCCACGACTCCATCAGACCCTTGGATCATCACTGAATGGGACAGTAGATTTCTGCAATGGAGCATCAAAAGATCAAAAACTGTTCCTAATCTGAAACTGACCTTGGACAAGCCAGGAAATGCTACAGGGTCCATTCTGGTCAGTGAAGTGCCCAGAACTGGCTCCTAAAATCAAGTGTACCTGCTAGACAAATTAAGCATTGGCAGAGTTGACCTTAAAAAAGTTTTATTGAAGTATAATTTACAAAGGTAAAATACACACATCTCTCTCTCTCTCTCTCTCTCTCTCTCTCTCTCTCTCTCTCTTATGGGTGGGGGGGGGGTGTCTCACAGGCCCAGACTGGCTTCCAACTCCTGGGCTAAAGCATCTCTACCTAAGTTTCCTCAGTATCTAGGAATACAGGCATGCACCATGCCCAGCTAAAAGTGCACAATTCTTCAGTGTACACCTTGATGAATTTTAATATAAGTGTCATCTGTGTAACCCCCATCTAAACCAAAGTATAGATTATTTCCAGCTCCTAAAAAGGGTTTCACATGACACCTGATTTTTATAAACGATCAGGTCCTTCCTCTATCCTTATTCCTGCATCAGACTTCCTTCATGCTCCTAAATTTAGTTTGAGAATTGAATTGTGCCTATCCTTTTAATGGCTCCTGAGATTTTACTCAACTATTTTAATTCTGGGAACTAGAGAAGCCAGGGACTGACTAGGAGCTAAGGTTTCCCAGACACCCACCTGGAAGAACCAGGTATTCCTAACCTCCCTCTCTGTTGGCTCTGACCCCTGACCTGCCCCCTGGGTGGGGAGGTGGAAAGATACGAAGATATACCTTGTTGCTTCTTGCGGCACATCACAGTGAAGAGCGTTGCAAACGCAGATATGACAACCAGTGGCACTGTGATGGCCACAGCTCTGATAGGCCCAGCCCAGGGAGAATGCACTGAGAAATTTCAAACGGAAGGATTTTAAACTTGAGCAGCATAACAGGTTTAAAGATAAATAACTTTTTTCTTATAAACATTAAGCTGCCCCACAGGTTCTAGGACCCCAAAACCACTTATCTCTAGTTGTAGTGATTATAAAATGATTCAATGGTTCATTTTTAAAGGGTTGTAGAAAATAATTCAACAGTTGAGTCTACTGAGACAGTAAATAGCTCTGAATGGGAACTTCGCCTAAGAAAACCTCTTCTCCCACCACTTTTCTCCCAAGGACAAGTGACTATTTATTTAGTTCCAGTGACAGATACCACACTGGCTTTGATCTTCCAGGCATCAACATGAAGGTGGAAGGAAACTCACATTTGATGGAATATCATTTAAGAGGGAGGTGTTGCATTTTGTTTTGTTTTTGTAAACCATAAAATATAGAAAGTATTAGATACCTTAAGTCTACAGTAGTCTAGAGCCCAAATTTCAAACACAACAATTCTTACCTGGCTTTAAGGCATAATGCATCACTTTTCTTGTTGTATTGGTATCATCTACCAGCTGCAAAACAGAGGACACTGTATTATTTTTTAAAAAAGTGATAGCACCTCAACAAATTGTGTCTAGCAGGTAGCGGGGTGAGACACAATACAAGAGTGAATTGATTCATTATTCCATTGGTGTGCAAGTGTGATGGGGGGGTAGGAGCACAAGTAGAAAAGAATAGTTGAGGGAGAGAGAGAGCTACTGGCCTGTAATCATTTACCAAGCTAAGACTAGGCATCAGGGTTCATCTCTGCTTTGCCGACTCAAACCTCTAACCATCCAATTTCCTGTCATGATTAAAAAGGCTGCTTATTCACTGAAGAAATTCAGTGAGTGAATCCCACAATCTAACAATTTTCTATTAAACTGGCATCCTACACTGATTTTACTGGGCCTGCGTGAATACTTTAAGAAGGTGTGTCTGGCCCAAAACACACACTGCTACTGAGGAATGCAATAAGTAGGTCTTTCTACCAAAATGTTAGGACACGCTGATTGTCTTTGAATCATACGGCAATGAACAAATTGTTAATTTACTTTTACCTCAATTCTTACAGTACCAATTTGATACTGGAAAAGGAATCTTAAAAAAGAAAAGAAACATATCATTTACATACTCTTTGAAATAGTGTCTGTTGAGAACAGCGATGGAAATCCTAGAGCAATATAGGCAGATATAAAAGGACTAACTTTTGTTTTGCTGTTTAGGAATAAAATAAAACTTTCTTTCTTTCTTTTTTGCAGTGCTGTGCCTCAAACACAGACCCTGGCACATGCTAGGCATGTGCTCTACCACTGTGCTACACCCCAAAACAAAACATTTTTAAAGCTAAACTTTTAAAAATATATCTTTGTAGCATGAAAGAATATTATATAGAAATTTTATATCATAGTTATGTGGACTATGTGGTTACATAAAAATACATACTTGAACTCTTTAATGAAAAGATCAGATATCAATTATATATAAACTTTTTTAAAAAGCATAAGAACCATGTAAAAATATAACTGTGCTCACCTTCAATGGCTTGAAATATTAGTACCATAAAGTTAAAACTGTACATGAACTACATCCTGTAGAATTAATAATAGGGCTTTCTATGGTTATACATACCTCAATTATATAATCCCCTGGAGAAACATTTTGAAGGAGGCAGCTGGTTGTCTCTGTATTTTGTTCCTGTAAAGAAGCAACCAACACTTTAAAAACTCACTTCTTGGAAAAGGGCATCAGAGACTCTTCTCTCCCCCAGAGCTGAAGGAAACTTGCCACCAGTCATACTTTCAGATGGTACAATTAGGTCAGAAAGCAGCTGCACTTATCTGACTCATGTTATCTGAACTTCACATCTGGGTAAAAGGTAAAAAGCCCTGGACCCCTGTCATATTCTATCCTTAGCTGGTGGTGCCCTCAGCAGGAATATTTCATCTGAAGGCCCCCCCAAAAAAAGTTCAAATACCCTCTAGTACACTCTACTTAAAAAGGGAAAGGAAAAGATACTAGAGTCTAGGTTTGCATGTTATTTCATTTGCCACAATTTTAACCTGGGCAGAAAGTCAAAGGTCAATGATAGAGGTGAGAACTAGCAAGAGAGCAGAACTAAGTCAGAACCCGACAAGTGCAGGGGCATGTGTAGGAAGGGACAGTGTTTGGCCACCATGACCAATAACCTCTCTTGGTCCTTGAGTGGGCAATCTGGCAATCCTGTGAGCTTTCAGAAATGTTTCCCACTTCTCTGATCACTCTGATCACTTTGATCTTGGTTTAAGATTTTGATTACTTTAGCCTGTAGGTAGAACCAGGGGCCAGTAGACTGCTAATGGCTTGCTTCTAGTTCTAGTTTCCCTCCTTATCAGTGGTGTGGCTTTGATCAAGCTAGGTGACCTCCCTGAGTCTCAGATTCCCCATGTGTAAATGGGGATTACAGTAGCCTATGTTTCAAAGAGTGCTCAAGATTCATGGAGTGGAAAGATCATCATTTGCCACACAATGAGCACTTGATGAATGTTCAAAACATAGAAAAACAAACTAAAAATACTAATTCTTTTGATTCCTTAGCAATACTTTTTATAGATCATATCACTACTAGAACCGGTCAAGGTGTAGACAAGTAGGAAATAAGGGATGAAGGGAAGATGGCCTAAGATATAACCAGTACTAAACATTCTAGAATATCTACTGATACTGCCACCAAAGCCTAGGGCTCACACTGAGCCACCCAAATTCCAGAGACCCAGGAGTCACTTTAAACCACAAGGTGCTCCTTTATGCATAACCAGCAGCTCACCTGCTTACAGGTCTTTCGCTTGAAGGGTACTTCATGCTTGAGCTTGTAATGAAGATAGAAAAAACGGAAGCCAAAGTTGTGTGGTGCATGGTCGAAGGACACCTGCATGTCTGAACCATGCTGGGTGATGTTCAGGTTCCGAGGCTTCCAGACTGGGAGGAGGAAGCAGCCAGAGTGAGCATTCAGAGGCCTTCCAATGCTCTCACAGTGGCAACACTTTCAGACTTGACAGATAAGAACTGTTATACTTACAGGGTTTACAGGCAAGGTTGTCCGGTTGTAACAATAGGTCACAGGCTATTGAAAGAGATACATATCTTTAGTTTTAGGACAGTTTGACATTTTCCTTACCCAGCAATTCAATAAAATTTAAATACACTATGCTTGGTGCTACTGGAAAGGGAATAAAATGTATCAATTCAACAATGATTTTTCACTGCAGGGCAGAAGTTCTATCTTATGAAAATTTAAATGGTTTGATATAAAAAGGTTAATGTAGTTCACTTTACTCTACATAAGTGGAAACAGTATAAAAGTCATCCAAATTTTAAAAGCTTGTCAAACATTACATAGTTTGAAGTCTGGAAGCCAAGGGCAGCAGAACCATGTTCATGCTACTATCACATGGAGGCTGTTTTAACTGTAAACAGAAATAATGGTGGTCCCCACTCCACTGTGGAAGTGTCTAGGCACAAGAGAACTTTGGAGTGGCTCTGGTAACTGTCAAGGGGTTATTTTGATCATCATTAGCATTTTTATTTAAAATCCTTTGTGGACTCTAAAAATGAAATATCAGGCATTTATTAAATAGTAGTGTCAGTGTTGAAAACCATGTACTGAAACCAGTAGCTTTGAAACAGGATTTAAATGTGATAAAAACACACATTTGAAGGGACAAATGACTAGCGCAACATGTCATGCTGCTAACCCAGGAAGAGTCTTCTGAAAATTCATACAATACTCCCCCTCCCCCAAAAAAGGATAGTTTCAAAGCTACAATGCACTGAAATGGTGACAAAGGTCTACATTCCAGGAATGTATGCCCTACTCCACCTTATCCCCAAATAGACAAATTAATTCCAATAGGAAAATTAATCTTAAATTATGCTCATTATTATCCAGGCAAGGTTCTTATAAACACACTCTTTGAATCCAACATCTGGTTATTATATACAAAGCATCGAGAAATGTGACATGTGCATGGTTTTTGCTCTATGGAATCTTGCATTAATTAAAAAAATAAGACTAATTGTTATAACTTCGAAGCATAGAAAACAACCACAGTAGGAATTCTACAAAGGGAAACATGGACATAGGCTAGAGTTGAGACCAAAAATCTCAAGAGCAAAAGGATGACAACCAGACTACAAAAGAGGGGACATCAGTGTGATGGTTTAGATATGAGATGCCTCCCAAAAGTTCCTGTGTCAATGTGGGAATGTTCAGGGGTGAAATGATTAGATTATGAGATCTAGAACCTAATCAGTGAATTGGATGGGGGGGTTAATAATTTGAATGGACTAACTACGTGGTAACTATAGGCAAATGAGGGATGGCTAGAGGAGGTAGGTCACTGGGGGCATGTCTTTGGTCTTTATGTTTCCCTGATGCCTCACTTGCTCTTTGTTTCTTGGCTGTCTGAGCTGAGCAGTTTTCTTCCACTACGCCCTTCTGCCATGATGTTCTGCCTCACCTCAGCCCCATGCAATGGAATCTGATCATGGACTGACTCTCCAAAACCATAAGCCTAAAACCAACTTTTCTTCCTCTAAGTTGTTTGGATCAGGTAGGTATTTTGGTGACAGCAACAAAAAGCTGAGAACAGAACATCAAGATCATACTGATCAGGATCATGCCAAAGGGGTCAAAGGGGCCACTGAAAGTTTTAGGGGGACTGGACATCACATTTGAAAATAGTGATTTAGGAAGATTAAAAGAGACATGAACAGGGAAAGGGGAGCAACTGGGAACCCAGATGGCTCATGGTTGAAGGGAGGGAGGGACTGCATCCCTGTATTTCTGAGGATCAAATTCAAGCTCCAACAAGCCCTTTTAACCCTGTGAGTCAAAACTCTAGTCAGTGGGGATGGTATCCTTATAGGATTGTTACAGAGATAAAGTATATTAATACATGGAAAGCATTTAGAACAGGGCCTGGCACATGAATGTTAAGTAAGTTAAAATTTCTAGAAAGAAGTGGTCTCAGGAATACTGTTTAATTTTCTTAATCTAATCCTGAGTACCATCTAATAACAGGTATAAAATGGAATTGTTTCATGCTCCCACCCTACACCCCAAAATCAACTTAGACTTTTGTTCCTGGGTTGTTGTTATTTTTTCCCTTTAAGTATTTTTTTTAGTTGTAGATGAACACATGGTATCTTTATTTACTTTTATGTAGTGCTGAGGATTGAAGGGTGCCTCACACCTGGGAGACAAGTGCTTTACCACTGAGCTACAGCCCCACTCCTACTCCTGGATTTTAAAAAATCATTTGTTTTGTGTGTGTATGATGTTAGGGAATCAAACCCAAGGCCTTGCACATGCTAGGCAAATTCTCTACCATTGAACTATACCCCCAGCACAAAAAAAATTACATTATTTTAATACGTGGCTATCTTAATGGTGGTTATAGTGTCCTCAAAAAAATCAGCCATCAGGTTTGTTTTACAATAAACCAGGAGTGGGTGTCTCTGGTTAGGTTAACAAAGCCTGGGCCAAACCTTCATTTTAAAAAGTATATTTTTAGAATTTTCCTCTGGATGCTTTTCTCCTCATCCTGCTTCTTTTGTACTGGTATCTGGTGTGACTTTGAATACATCTCTGTAGAGCAATCATGAAAAGCAAGAGAAACATCTCCTCAAGGGAACCAGGCAGGAAAGAGCATACTCACCCCGAGTTCTGAAGAAGAAAGGGTGGTAATTGCTTTCGTTTTTAATGGAAGGGAAAGGGACAATCTTTACAAAGTAATCCGTTTCAAATTTCATATTCAGGAAAGGTTGAGATTCCATTCCCTAAAAGGGAACAAAAACACATGTGGTGTCATGAAGAAATTACCCACCCTGTCACTCACACCTGAGACCTTCACTTCTACCCAAACTGTCTTTCAGACACAATTCAGAGCTGAGGATATGCCCCAGGGAAGCAGAAAGTCAGGTCCATTTCCTGGACCAAGTTTGGATTTGGATCTGTAACTCAGAAGATGGACAAGACTGTTCTCTGGCAAGAAAGCCATGGCTAGCTAAGCCTGAACCTCAAGAGTTGCAGGGAGAGGACAGTGAGCCCACAAAATCCCGCAGAGTACAGACACTTTCTGGATGGCTGCTGGAATGTAACCTGAGAAGTGTGTTTACCAAAGAGAGGTGCTGAAGATCAGGCTGGTGTTGCCTCCCCATCCTAGCCCACCTTGGCAGGCAGGGTGGACCCCACCGCTCTGCTTCTCCAATTTCAGACTTTCAATAGACCATTCAGACCCCAGGAACAATGGCATGTCTTCAGGAGCACATTCCCCAAGTGTTACTTACAGTTCTTTTGAAGCTACTGTTGAGCTGCTTTGGGTCCTTTAGAATCAGTTGTTGGCACTGTCTTCCCTCCGACTTCAGCTCCTCCAGTATTACCCGAAATCCTTTTAGGAATTCAATGCCTAAGCAAAGCAGGATGCTTTTATGAAAAGCAAACCTAATTACTTCTGAACACACTTTCCTTCCTCCAAGATTAGGGTCCTCTCCACCTACACATCAGATGTAAAGACTTTGCTCTGCCTAGGACATCTGGGTGAACAGAAAGGAAATGAACATATCCTGCGGTCCTCTGGGATAGACAGGTGATTTTCTCTGTCCCACCATTACTATTATAATTAATCTCTAATCCACCAGGCCATTTCACAAATATCCACTGCCTCTGTAACATCAGGGTTCAAATATTTAGACCCAAGTCACAATTGATCATAAAAGTCTGCAGTGAACTATATAATTTCTAGGTCAGTGAACAAGGGGCATTCAGCTGACAATTCCCAATGCTGACTGGGAAGTGTCCCTCAACCACAATTCCACTTTAAGTTTTAGCTCTACATTTTTTTTATGTTTCACTGAGCAGAGTACAAAATTCCCAACATAGTGTCTGCACCTGAGGGGTTCCTAAAGAATAATAGTTTAGGAGAATGCTGATAGATTTACAAAGCATCTCTTGCTCTAATCACTGTAAGGCAGACACCCAAGGGCTGCCCAGTGTGTGCTCTTCACATAGCGCTTAGAGGCCAGACACCCATGGCGCTGCTGAAAGGCGCTGGCCCAGCCTCCTGCCACCTGAGCTTCCCCCACTGCACGTCCCACTAGATGCTTTCAAAAGGATTAAGCCCTGATGGCCACAAGAGCCAGCACCAGGGGTCTGTATCCCATGGAGACCAGAATGGTCCAACTGCAGCTGGAGATCCCCAAAGCTGGCCTCAATTGGCGAGATATCGATTTCACATTCTTTCTGAACACTAGACAAGGAGACATTTTCAAACCTCCCTCTCCCAGGGCAAAAGTAATTACACAGGATGCAATTAACCAGGTGGGAAAATTATTGATGGCAAAGGCCAAGGAAATCTTTTTCTTTTCGAGCAGGTTCTCCAATCCTGTAATTATTTGATGAACAGCACATTTTTCATGGTGGATAGAGTGGAGGCAACACAATCAGAACCCCACATTTTAGGGGTTCAGAGTGCTCTGAGCCCCAGAACTGATTCTAGTAAGTCAGGTTTCAATCACAAAGCTTCCTGCGGGGTGATGGCCAGCTAATCCACAGGCCCAGAGATTCAGACATAATGGCAAGACACAAGGTCTTTGGAACAACTACTATTTAGTAGATTTCATAGGAACTTGCCTTTTGAGTTTAAAAAACAATTTTTTAAGCAAATCCTTTGTGTTTATACAAAAATTTAATTTACGCGATGTTCCTGGAATTATTATTATTTAACAAGAGCAAACTGATTAATATGATTAAAGGCCAAGCATCTCATGAAATCACCATGACAAACCTGGGTCTGGAGGTAGAGGCAGCAAATGTAATTCTTACACTGCAGGAACTTATTTACCATAAAACTAGTAACACCTTGTTATTATAAAAGATAGGCTATTTTATAAAGTAACCTCCCCTAAATAACTTATTTGCTCTCTTTTACACATTTAAACTCACTGATTCCTAACAATCACAGAAGTGCTATTATCCCCATTTACATTTTTTTATTTTTTTTTATTTTTTTTATTTTTTTTTAATTTTTTATTTTTTTATTGGTTGTTCACAACATTACAAAGCTCTTGACATATCATATTTCATACATTAGATTGAAGTGGGTTATGAACTCCCAATTTTACCCCAAATGCAGATTGCAGAATCACATCGGTTACACATCCACAATTTTACATAATGCCCAATTAGTAATTGTTGTATTCTGCTACCTTTCCTATCCCCTACTATCCCCCCTCCCCTCCCCTCCCATCTTCTCTCTCTACCCCATCTACTGTAATTCATTACTCTCCTTGTTTATTTTCCCATTCCCCTCACAACCTCTTATATGTAATTTTGTATAGCAATGAGAGTCTCCCTTCATTTCCATGCAATTTCCCTTTACTCTTCCTTTCCCTCCCATCTCATGACTCTGTTTAATGTTAGTCTTTTCTTCCTGCTCTTCCTCCTTGCTCTGTTCATAGTTGCTCTCATTATATCAAAGAAGACATTTGGTATTTGTTTTTAAGGGATTGACTAGCTTCACTAAGCATAATCTGCTCTAGTGCCATCCATTTCCCTGCAAATTCTATGATTTTGTCATTTTTTATTATCCCCATTTACAAATGAGGAAATTGAGGTTTAAAGAAGTTAACTTGCTCAAGGTCACCAGGAATGACAGGACAGAAGCAGAATTCAAACCCAGGAAGTATCTGACTTTAATTCAGTGTCCTTAACCCACAGGCTTTCCTGCCTTCCAAGTTCTCCTGTTAGAACCTGATAGAACCTGTCCATCCCCCCCCCACACACACACCCCCCCATAAATCATCATTCAGGAAAAACACAGCTTTCTGTGTTCCCTGTATTAGTCTTCCAACCACCAGCTCACACCTCTTACTTTTATTCTAATGAGGGAGCCCACAATTCCTTGGAACAAGCCCTTAACCATTTCAGCCTTATATGGAATGACCACTTCCCTTTTACCCATGGAGAATGTTTTTATCTTTAAATGTTAAGATAATATTATTTTTGGAAAACTCATGGGGTTCAGACTCAGAATTACTTCTGTGAACAGGGGAGTGAGGCCCTCAGCTCTATCCTTCCTCCCCCTGAACTCACCCCTCTGATGGTCGGGTTCTTCTGAGATTTATCCTCTTCAGATTAAGAAATCCAAGCTCAATCCCTGTCTATGTTTGGGAAAATGTCTAAAATTGGTGGCAATGTCAGAGGGGCAGGTCTGAGGCCCAGATTCTGATGAAAACAATAGCCCCTCTGCTCTGAGAGCTCTCTCTGAATAGCTTGCATCTACTCTTGATAGACAGGGAATCAGGGGCTCTGTGAGCCACTTTAAAATGTTGTTTCTGGGTTCAAACCCAGGCTCATCTGAACAAATGCTCCCTCCCCATGTCCATGCTTGACTAACCATTCCCGTCCTAGGTATCATCAGTTCATTCAAGAGGACATACAGGCCAGGCCAGTGGTAAACGCCTGTAATCCCAAATGGCTCAGGCAGGAGGATCCCAAGTCTAAAACCACCTTAGCAAGACCCTGTCCAAAAATAAAAAATTTTTAAAAAGGCTGGGGATGTGGCTCAGTGGCCAAGTGCCTCTGAGTCCAAACCCCAGTACCCCCACCCCCACAAAAAAGAGGACAAACACATCCAAACAACCAAACTGAATCTAGCCAGATAATGTGGGTTTGTTCTCTTTCTGTCCTCATTTTGATTTGGGGTTTTTGTTTTTGTTTTGAACTCTCACAGCTTAAATAAAATTTTAATTAGCTGCCAACTTTGAAATCCTAAAAAATCACAATGTGTGTCTATATGTCTATGTGGTCACAGAGATCGCTAACACTGGCTGCCAAAGCCAGTCTGCCCCTGAATGGGCCATGGGCTTTCCTGACACTGTTACCATCTACCACCAACTAGCAGTGAGACACAGAGGCCAAGGACTTGGTGCCATTTATCACCTACACACTATTATTTTAGAAACCCACATGTTTTTCAAGGGTCAAAGAAAAAACGCGAAGAGCCATGGAGCAGTCTTACACTGGGCAGAGTCAGCAAGTGCAAGCCTCAGAGGACCAAGTGTGTCTGTGCCCCCATCCAACCTCGCCTCATCCTCTTCAAGACCTACCTGCTGCACATGTGAAATTCTGGCATTAGGCAATAACCCGGCTCACCGGGGTGAACCTGATTTCTGAACACTTACCAAGGGACCCTGGAGACCAAAGAATGGTGACTGCCACTTGGTCGTGGCAAGCATACTGGCTGATAGTGATGTTCTGGGCATCAGCAATCACGTGCTTCCCCAACAGATTCAAGTAGGTGGTACAGTCTGGAAAGAACAGGAATGGTCTAATTTAAAATTTTATCTTTATTTTCAAGTTTGTCTTATCAAATTACACAAAGCATGTCCACAACTGGCCAAATCCATTCCATTTCAAGTCACGTGCTTCAAAAGCCCAAACATGACATCAAGGTTGACTGACATTTAGGTTACTACAAGATGCAACAGAGGAATTTGTTTATAGCATCACTACCACCACCCACCCCGAGTTAAATTCCAGGATGGTCCTGGGAGGATCATACATACACAGTGTGGAGTGTGTGTGTGTGTGTGTGTGTGTGTGTGTGTGTGTGTGTGTGTGTCTGACTTGAACTCTGATGACATTACCTAAGTGAATAAGTATTTGCATCAGTTCAGCTAGCTTTAGCATTAAAAAGAGTAATCTGAAAGAAAACACTGCTAAATAATTTAAGGTTTATTTGTTTTTAAAAGAAACCTAGAAGGCAAGGTGTCAAATGGAAAGGAAGGAATCAAGGAATCAACATGCAGATATGAATCCACAGGGGAGTGATTCACAGCCATGCTGTTAGCAATTCATTAGTGCCCAGGTAAGGATGTTAACTAGCATCCACAAAGGCAAAACTTTTGTTCTGAAACTGTCATCAAACACACACACAATCTTCATCAAATCCCAAAAGCCCCACATTGCTCCCAAAATGAAAACCACCTCTGCTTCTTTGGTTTTTGTCTGAGTATATTACTCACTGTCACTTGTCAGTATAGCCACAATCATGGGAGCAGCAGCACCACCTGGTATTGCTAAATACACCTTCAAAATCTGTCTCCCCTAAAAAGTTGCCAGAAGCTTTCAGCCAAAATCAGGCTAGGACTTGAGAAGCTGGCTGTGAGATGGCTGTTCTGGCCACTTAAACAGAAGAACCATTGGTTGTCCCTAGAAGATACCAACTATTGCTTCATCTTTGTTTCTTTCTCCATGACTCAATTTGAATACCCTCTTTAGTGTCTACTGCAAAAAGTTATCTTCATCAAAGGTCTAAATCTGTCTGTTTCTCTGCCGAAGCGGGAGGTTTTTCTTAGGAGAGAAATGTTCCAGAGCATTTTCTTTCCTCTCCCTCTTTTTTTTTTTTTTTCTCTTTTTTTTGGTATCAAGGGGCACTTAACCCCTGAGCCACATCCCCAGCCCTTTTTATTTTGAGGCAGGGTATTACTAAGTTGTTAGGGCCTCACTAAATTGCTGAGGCTAGCCTCAAACTTGCAATCCTCCTGCCTCAGCCTCCTGAATCACTGGGAATTCAAATGTGTGCCACCACACCCAGCTATGTTGCCCATTTTTAACTAAAAATATACATTTAAAAACCACAAAGGAATATAACAACAAGTCATCTATACTCTTCTTACACGATATAACTGCTATTAACATTCCAAAGGATGTCCTTACAAAGCTTTTAGCATCATATAATATTCTTTTTTATTTCTTATGTAAGTATAACATCCATACACTAAATTGTACCTCCCTCTTTTTTTTTTTTTTTTGGTACTGGAGATTGAACCCAGGAGTGTTTGACCCCTGAGCCTCATCCCCCGCCCTTTCTAGTTTTTGTTTTGACACAGAGTCTAAGTTGGTTAGGGCCTCGCTAAGTTAATGAGGTTGGTCTTGAACTAGTGATCCTCCTGCCTCAGCCTCTTATAAGTCACTGGGAATACTGGGGTGTACCACCACAGCCAGTCACACCTCCCATTTTTAAAACTGCATCCTCCACATAGTCTTTGTCCTGCTTTCTTACCTAACCACATTAGATGCACTCCTTTCATTAAACTTCATTTGCTTCAAAAAGTGACAGCCATTCATATTTCACTATTACTTCTAATTGAACAAATGTTAATAATAAAACCAAATCCTACTTTTGATGAAACTCATTCTCAAAGCAATCAATGGGTGTTCTTCAAGTTCAAAAGAGAATTTAGAATAGGAAAAATAATCTTTAAATATCTGGTTTAACACCTACATTGTATAAAAGAGGAAACTGTAACCATGAGAGATCACCTGGGTGACTCAGAAGGACCCCAGGAGCAGAAGCAGAAAAAGCAGCCTCAGAGGGTTCCTTATAGTTCTTGGCACTCTATGATCAACACAAGTATATTGCTCCTAGCATAAGCTCTTGAGTCTGAGGGGTTTAGTCTGAAAAAGTTCTGGCTGTCACTAGCTTCCCAATACAGAAAAAGAAGAACCTATCATACTTATAAAGTTCCAGTATTTTCATTTGTTGAAGCCTACAATGTAAGAGAACCCTTTGACTTAGTTTTGAAAAAATGCAAACAAGAGAAATTCATGGGTATCCTAATGCCAAAATTAACACTCTTTGGGTTTTCATAAATACAATTATGTAAATAGAAAGTCTAAGAATTAAGATAATGTATTATAACCTAGTCAGGCATACCCACTCAGAGCCTAAGGAAGCATGGAATACAGGGTCAAAGGAGGTAAGGAGGCTTGTGAAATTCAATTATGACTTAATGGTAAGACATTTCTTTTTTTTTTAATATTTATTTTTTAAAAGTAGCTGAATACAATACCCACATTACCTTTATTTATTTATTTATTTATTTTTTAATGTGATGCTGAGGATCAAACCCAGGGCCTCGAACATGCTAGACGAGCGCTCTACTGCTGAGCCACAATCCCAGCCCCCATTTTCTTTCTTTTTTTTTTTTTTAGAATATTTTTTTAAAAAAAGAGAGAAAGAGAAAGAGAGAATTTTTTTAATATTTATTTTTTAGTTTTCGGTGGACACAACATCTTTGTATATATGTGGTGCTGAGGATAGAACCCAGGCTGCATGCATGCCAGGCGAACGCGCTACCGCTTGAGCCACATCCCCAGCCCTAGAATATTAATTGACAAAAGAATAGGGGGAAAAAAAACGGTTTCTGTAGTTCAGTAATTTTGGTGAAAACTTGGTAATTGATTCTCAGCTACTTCAAACACAACTAGTAATCAATCAGCTGAGCAATAACAGGAACTTCCCTATGAAAGAGAAAAATATCTTTTTCAGTGAAAAACACTGAAAAGCTTTTTTTATACAGCTTACATCCAATTATTAGCAAGTCTAAAGTTTTGGATTCTGGTTACCAAAAAAAACCAAAAAACTTTACACCCAAATTTTGCCAAAATGCAACTGAGCTTCAGACATTTCAGGAGTCAATGCAAGTTGTGAATTAAATTCAAATTAAATGCTAAAGAATTAAGAAGAAATTACGACTAAGAGGTGGGAATAGGCATATGGATCAAAAATTTAGTACAATGAAGACAACAATAGAATATTTTTAAGTTTTATAGGTATAGATCCCTTTACACAAAACTCATATTAAATTAGAAAGGCAAATACTTGTTTGTAGCTGACCAGAAAATTTTGAACTCCTGAATGTAATATAAGATCTGCTAGGACCAAGAGCATCTATTAGAAATTAACTTTCTAACTCAAAGAAAGATCCCTTACACATGTCTTTACTTAGCTGAACCAAGTATCATGAACTTGCAAATCTTTCATTACCATCACAGCATTTACCCAGAACATGAACACCCCACTAACACGAAATGCCCAAGTTCCATGTGGAAGCCCTTATTGGTTAACTTAAAATACCCATGCCAGTGACTGTGGGTGTGAATTTGACACACACATATTTGTATCTTATTATTGTTAGACTAAATCAATAACCTCAAAAACTCTGCTTTAGTACTGATTATTCTAGAGGCCTCCATATGACCATGCCCTAAGCCCCTAATTCACAATCTTCTCCAAGAGATGAATGAGATGTCAGGAGTCACCAAATAGAAGTCAAGCTCCCTCTCATTATTTTCATGTATGAATTACAGCTCATAAGGCTAAAATGCTCACAATTATATACAACAACCTTCTTATGAATGAAAGCAGCTGCTTAGTGGGGATCCTATTTGCTTAATCAGAGAAACTGATTAAACAACCATTTATCCAGAAAAAAAAAAAGGCACACTTGTTTGGACAAAGGACAAAAAAGGGTGTTTTTATTCAACCCCAGTTGAACCGGCTTCTGTTAACACATAGTATTTCCTGAATGTATACTCAAACCAGCTACCAAGCTGAGCAGGTATAAGCACTACCTCATTTAAGCCTCAAAATGATTCTAGGAGAAGGAAACTAATTTTTTTTTCCCCCTGGTGCTGGGGATGGAGCCCAGGGTCTTCTGCATACTATACAAGCCCTCTACTACTAAGTTATAGCCCCAGTCTACTAATCTTTGTTTCATATGAGCAAACTAGCATGGGTAAAGAAACCAAGTCACCTGCCACAGCTCACAGAGCTGACAGGTGGGAAACTGGGGTTGGGACATAGGTGCAAGTACATAGGCCCAGAGGTGACCAAGTGGTGACCTCTGGTCAGTCTGGGACACAGATTCACTTGCCCCACTCTGTTTGTGTATTTGTTATTTACTTATTTATTTTTTTTAGTTGGAGATGGACACAATACCTTTATTTTACTTTCCTATTTTTTATGTGGTGCTGAGGATTGAACCCAGTGTCTTACACATGCTAGGCAAGTGCTCTAACATTGAGCTACAAACTCAGCTCCTGTGTTTGTATATTCTTAAGATAGATGCCAATTATTTTTTAAATGTTCACAAAAAATACAGATTTCTCACTACTCTTGGAAACCACATCTGGCTAAACTATAGGAATTCCTCGAGACCACAATGAGCTGGAAGTAAGAATTCAGTGTCTGCTTCAAGCCAAACATAGTCTGTAGTCCCCACTTTCTCCTAACATCCTGTTCTTAGGCAGCTTTGCTCCCCTGTCTCCTGCTGAGCCTGACTATCATCTGTGCTTATTCGTAAGGACTTGGTCATGTCTTGAGGAATTCACGGGAGGTCTTCATACGTGACTTTTTCTGAACACTATGGAAGACACTTGACCTGTTCAAGGTCTCAAATACTTCAGTGGCTCAACATTGAAAAGTCCTCAACCCAAGATCTGTTGTGTCCTTGTTTAAGTACAACAGTGTAAGCTGTGGATTACTGAAAGTGCTTCACTCTTCCAGGTCAAGCCAATTACTTACTGTCATATCTGAAGGTAATGTTGTGCAGTCCGCTGTTCCTGCTGGCTGGCCCCACTCCCTGTGGGAAAACAAGAGAATACAATTAAGTATGAAGCCAACTGACTTTTCCATCACAGATCCCCACGGAGTCTAAATGCAACATTGCAGAGGCTTGGTGTCATACAAGTCCCCAAGTATCACCCACCATTCTTTCCACCCATCCTATGACATCACAACTGCCAAACATCCTCCAGCCCAAGAGATTTCTTACTGCCAGGTCACAGGGGATCATGGACACTCATTTCCCCTGAGACAATAGGAACAGGCTATTCTATTTTAGGGGTTAAATAATTCATTAATAGTAAAATTGGGAATAAGACTAGGGCTGCCAGCTGGAGTCGTTCCAGTTGGATCCACTTTTAGAACTGATTGGTTATAAAATTCTCTTACCAGACGCCCTCATCTGAAAGCTCTATTAAGCCAAGACAGATAGGCAATTCCTCAAGTCTAAGGAAACCAGTTTCTCATTCCCAGACTGGGAACGAGTGTGGGAATAAGCCGTTACTTTTATGAGAAAATTCTTCACTGCATCCATACCTATGCTTGGAATACACAGGGTGGGTCATAAAAGAAAAAGAAAAAAAGACTTTAAAAGGTCTAATTCTTAACTGTTGGTGATGTGGCCATTAGCCATCTGCACTCTTAATAGCAGGGCTAACAACTCCGCCAGACTTCCCACTTTAATTACAGCATCCATAGAGAATCCTTCTACTGACCCCGCCTTTTCCTACCCCAGGGTTTATCCATTATGGGAAAGAGCAGCTAGCTCTAAATCTACCCACTTTGACTTAGCTGTTTCTCTAATAATCTGCAAATGTGCCATTGAGTATTAATTGCAGAATTCTCTAAAATAGGTTAATTCTGAAGAGCTAAATGATGGGAAAATATTCTAGCCACATAGCTAAAGTTTCTACTTAACAAGGAGGATGTTGGGGAAAACCATATGCTGGCAGCCTGGTATTTAATGGGCAATTGTTACACTGAGACACAATGTGGAGAACACTTCTGATGGGGCCCAGGTTTCAGGCCACAACCCCATCACATCCATATGCTTCAGGCATGTTCACGCTGTTTATCCTGAAGCCAGTCACGCCCACTGAAACCATATCCCTGAGCTCAGATATACATGAACCTTGGGAAAGCACAGCTGTGCAGAAAGGGACACATACCCCACTCTAAAGTGGGAAAATAAGTAAGCAGTAACACAAAGCCTAAATCAACATGGTCCCCCAACCCCTGATCTGTGGCAGCTCCCCTTCTTCCTGGTTCACCTTCATTCTCTAGCTTCCTCCACTCACTTTTACTTCCCCACATATGTAAAGTTCCAGAACTCCTCGCCTGAAATGAAACTTTGGAAAGTACTGTTACCTTATTAAAATCCTTAGAGTATCCATGATTTCATAGGAACAAGTCACAAGCTAGAGGCTGCCCAACCTTCACAGATGGCAGAGACCCTGAGAGACAACCAGGCGGTAGAACAGTCCCTACAACCCTTTGGGAATGCCAGAGACCAAAGCATAAGACCCCCAAACCACCCTTCTTCTCCCTACAGAACTTTAGGTTAAACTTACTCCTCAAATTTGCCATTCTCCTGCCTCAGCCTCCCATGTTGCTAGGATTATAGGCACGTGCTGCCATGTCTGGTAAGCAGGTACTTTTCAAAAAGGAAACACATTCCATTTAATAGCATATTCCTAAGTACACAGGGACACTGGAGACCAGTCACTCTACTTGCTGGACATAGTCAGCTTTTGGTTTTGTTCCTGTTTCCCTTATATTTCTTTTGTAGCATGGTTTTTGCTTTTGTTTGTTTGCAATACTGGGGATTGAACCCAGGGCCTCACAGATACTATGCAAGCACTCTACCACTGCACTATATCCCCCGCCCTTTTCTTTCATTTTATTTTGAGACAGGGTCTCATTAAGCTGCCCAGTCAGACCTCAAACTTGTTATCCTTCTGACTCAAATCTCCTGAGTAGCTTGTAGTCAGGTGCTGCCAGAGCTAGCAGTAGGATATTTTTAACAGATATTTGCCAGGCACTTGCAATGGCTAATGCATTGTGAAAATGAGCCCAAGACAGTGATGCAAGCAAAAACCTAAATCCCTCCCAATAAGGTCTCTGTGATGTATGTGGAGCTGTTCAGAAGAGGGTCAGTGAGCTGAACTCAAGGATTATAAGGCTTGTACGTGGCATCCATTCATGACCCACTGAGCATTTCAACTTGTCTTACACCCCACAGGGGTGGACAGTCAGTATGAACCAAACACAGGTCCTGACCTCAAGAAACTTTGGGTGTCAAGATAAGCTTCAAACACACATGTCTACCTCACTTCCCTCCTTCCAGTGCTTCACAAGTTCCATGTTCCTCTAGACCTTTGCTGGTGTGGCTACTTCCTTCCCCACCTTCCAAACATCCCAAAGCACTGCAGTTCCACTCAGATGCTCCTGCATCTCAAGAGTCCCCTTCTCTTCTTTCCATGAATCTCTTCCTATCATCCAGGTCCTGCTTCCCTGGTGGGCTGCCTTAGTCCAGCCTCTATCATACCAGGTTCCTGATACATCAGTCTACCTACATGGCACTTCTGCACATGTCAGTGTGAAATGGTGATTCTAATTCCACAGAAAATTAGAGACCCTAAGACCCTGTGACCAGCCAACCGTGGACATGGAGTTCAGAAAGCAAAAGATGCCATCCCAGGTACCAGTTCTGCACTTTAAAAACACTTTCACTCCCAGAAGTTCTCCAATGCACAGCCTCAGCACATGTATCACAGATGCTCCACAGGGTTGTCCTCAGCTCACACCAAATAATGCTTCAGCTGCTCCACAGCCCTCAAAAACCACCTTAGAAATGGTATACCCAGGCTGGTCCTCAGAACCCTGCTATTCCTTTATATTTCAAGGCTGACAGAAATGATGGTCTCCAGAACATGTCCACATTCTTATCTGAAACCTGAGACTGTTATTTGACTTAGCAAAAGGAACTATGAGGATGTGATTAAGTTCAAGGATGCTGAAATGCAGATAGTATTCCGGGTTCTCCAGGTTCTCAGATGAGTCCAATGTTATCGCAAGGATTCTCAAGAGGGAGACTGAAGGGTCAGTGTCACAGAAAAGGAGATGTGACAGTGGAAGCAGAAGAGAGGCAGAGATGACTGGAAGATACATATCACTGATTTTGAAGACAGAGGAAGAAGGAGTGACTGAATCAAAAACTGCGGCAGCCTCTGGAGCATGGAAAAGGAAAGGAATGGATCCTCTCCTATGGCTCCAGAAGGAACCAGTCCTGCATACACCTGATTTCAACAGATTAAGACCCATTTTGGAGTTCTGCTTCCGGAATTACAGAATATTAAGTCTATATCATTTTAAGTCATTAAACCTATGGTAATTCTTCACAACAGCAATTGACAGCTAATATATGCATATATTTCACCTGCAATACAAATGAACTGGACCTTGATGCCACACACCTGCTGTGTGTTCTTATTCTTCCCATCCCACTCCCAGAAGTGATCACTCGATGCTGCCTTCTCTCCCACCCTGGTCTTAAGCAGAAATCCTGATCCATCAGAGCAGCTGTTGAGATTCTGCCATTCTCTATTGGGCTTCTGTGGGCTGACCTGGAGTTTATATGGAGTTGAGGTTAAAAAAATGGGGTTGGCCTTACAAAGATGTGTTTTCACAGTACCCACTTTCCCTGTGACCTTGGGCACATTTCCTAGCCTCATTTCAGAGGTTCAAACGCTCTGGAGACATCCTGTAAAAGACTGGTATGGGGGATACATCAGATGACATATATCAAGTGCTCAGACAGCATCTAACACATAACAACTAAGAAATGTTTATGTCATCCTTCCTAATAAGATTCCTGCCTCAATAAGCAGGTATGAGCTAAGCTGCAGGGATGACAATGTGGAGACACTCAAGGGAGGCAGGAGGTACAGAGACAAGTTTCTGTCTCCACTGTACAGAAACTTGAAGGACCATAGGATACATAGCAAATAGGTCAGGGCAAGGTGGCAGAAGGTGCTGACCACCAGGCTAAGGAGTGTGTTCTGCTGGTAATCCCTGTGGGAACTAGATGATCTGGTAACTCCATCTATGAAATCTGCACAAGATAAAGAGCAGAGGTAGATGACAGCATGGGTGAGAGGACTGTCCTCAAACCCCTGGCCCATTGTCCTGGGTCTGGTTCATACATAGTGAGCCCTTGAAACATATTAGTTTTCTAATGAAATGAATTTGTGATTAAACCAGGTAATACACACAAGAACCTGGAGTGGTGTTTTCACAGTGATTTATAGGCTTAGAATGAAGGCCCACACCAAGAGAAAACAGATAAGGCCACTCACAAAGCTGGTCCGCAGCTTTATAAACTACTCTTCAGGAAACAATCCCAAGCTGTTAGCTACTACACTGTTTTGATATTTAATGAGCTGACAATTAAAAATACTTGTTTGCTGCCTGTTACTTGAAACCTATACATGCCAATGTTGTGGCCTCAGGGTGCCACATTCTTAGTTAATTAACCACCCCCATTTGCTCTTCTAACGGGTACCTTTTAATTTGTTCCAAAGGGAACTAAGATGCTAGCCCCAGGTGCCTGGAGCTCCACTATGAAATTCCTTTGGTTGATGCTCTGTGGTAAGCAGAGACGGAAGTAGCAAATGGGAACATAATGAAGAAAACATCTTCTACTCAGGAAGGATGGGGGAGGATAACTCTTAAGTGCTCTGAAGGATTAAAATTCAAAAGTGGAAACCCACACCATGCTCCAGCCATATGGCAAGAAGCAAAGGCCTGGACACAAAGACTGCCGGCCATCCATGGCCAATTTCCTGAGGAGTCATGAGGATTTGGGGCCATCTGAAGACACCAACTCCCTAGAGCAACATTTCCAATTCAGCTCCAACAAGGTTTTACTGCCATTTTGGAAAAAAAGCATTTTGAAAAGGACTGTGCTGTAAGTACAGTGTCCCCTTTTCCAATAGAATGTTGGCCAGATGATAGGGC